CGAACATAATTCTTATTTGTGCTTGTTTAATTGATTGAAATGTAATGGTTGATTTTGTTGATTTCAATCTGCATTATGTTGAAGGCAAAAATGACTATCGCAATGCGAAATGAAAATCGCAATGCGAAATGAAAATCGCAACGAGAGAATCGCAATGCGAAATGAAAATCGCAATGCGGAAATGAAAATCGCAACGAGAGAATCGCAATGCGTTTATAATTTCGCATTGCGATTCTCTCGTTGCGATTTCATTTCGCATTGCGATTTTCATTTCGCATTGCGATTCTCTCGTTGCGATTTTCATTTCGCATTGCGATTTTCATTTCGCATTGCGATTCTCTCGTTGCGATTTTCATTTCGCATTGCGATTTTCATTTCGCATTGCGATTCTCTCGTTGCGATTTTCATTTCCGCATTGCGATTTTCATGTTGGGATTTTCATTTCGCATTGCGATTCTCTCGTTGCGATTGTAATTTCCGTGTTGCGATAGTCAAATGCATGCCTAATAGTGATAACAACTGAATAACAAGAGTTGGTTAAGTCAAAATGGTTGGCCTGAGTCATTAATTCAACTGAAAATGTTAAAAGTTCACACATAAATCCACATAATACAACGTTTGCATTTAAAAATCAGCTAAGTTAACAGTCCCAAAAGGTGAAGCCAATTGTGATTGGGATTTTAAAGATGATTGCCTTTTGCTTGACACCATATGAGCTTTGGATTTTGATGAGGATCCATATTTTGGTAGAGGAAAATATGATTTTGATGGCACTGGTGATCCACATGTCAACCTTGTATGACCACTTTCCTTGCACCGACTACATGTCGATCTCTTCTTCTCTTCACCCTTAGACGGTATACGATCGTGACTTTTTGGTCGCCAGGTAGCCTTCTGTCCATGGCTGGTGGCAAAACTGTTTGTAAGTCATCTGGTATGTCCCACTCAGAAGGATGTGGAATAGGGTAGACAATCTCGGCATAAGTCTGTCGATAAACTTCTGTAGTGTAGCAATCCATAGCGTATGCGCTTGAATCATCTTGGTTTAAATGAAGAGCAACTTTTATAACATGGCCACACGGAACCAGATGTTTGCCATTTCATACAACTACACGTCTTTGCATTTAGATCGACTAGCCCATTTAAGTTATTATCCAGTACTTGAAACAAAGTGTTTGAACATGGTTCAACTCTCCATGACGTTGACTTCACAACACGTTTCGTTATCTTTTTTTCAGTCCATGGTGTAACACGATGTTCCAATGTTCCTGTAAATTTAAATAAACAATACTTAGTAAAATATATAAATATGATAAGTTACGAATTCAAAGAAATAATACCTGCATGGTTTCTTTCTTGTAGTACCACTGTTGAATAGAGGCTCGAAAAAACTCCATTAACATAGTAATGGGTAATTTCCGGGAATGACGACTTAGAGCGTTGATTGATTCTGCACTATTAGACGTCATGAAACCATATCTTGCTCCAAGTTGATGTACTCTTGACCATCTTTCAAACCCGACATCTTCTAGTGTTTGAGCACACTGAGGCAAAACGTCTTAAACAATTTATATGCTTATTGAAATCCACTTCCCGATAAGCTTTTACAGCCTTCCAGTATGTCCATTTGTGCTTTTTTATACCAGCAGACCTTGATTTTAGATTTCTATACAAATGAACACCACAAAGTCCATGAAAAGCATCTGGGAAACACCTTCTAACAGCGTTGTCAATTGAGTTTGCCCTATCGGATATGATTGTCAGATTGCTAATAGGACCTATGCAATCCCTAAGATGCCCCATAAACCATGTCCATGAATCAGAGGTTTCAGATTTGCCAACCCCGTAAGCTATTGGCAATATCCCATTGTTAGCATCCATGGCTACTGCTAATAAGTTTACTCCAAGGTATCGACCTTTCAAATGTGCTCCGTCAACTGTAATAACTGGGCGCATGCAAGTAATAAACGAACGAATCTACAAAATAATATACACAAGAAATATAATCATTTAAATGTGAAATGCATGTAACTAACAAAAATGAGTCAACAAAATTATATTGATTTACTAACCGTAGCACCAATGGCGATAAACAGCAACTCAAAGCGTCCATCTCTATCTGTTTTGATATGAGTTACCGACCCAGGATTTTTCAGCTTTAAATTGTGACAATAAGCCGGCAGTTGGGCAAACGATGCTTCTGGCAACCCCCTCAACAATTCCAAGGCATAACATTTGGCTCTCCAAGCTTGAGAATATGATATACTAATCTTGAACCGAGCATTCATGTCAGTCATAATTCATGTCCCCGATATACCCTGCCATTCAAAAACATTAACTCAGCCAGAAAACCACCCAACACCTTTTTGTTTGCCTGTCTATGGTGAGGAAAAACTTGGGTTCTTGAACATGTATGTTTATCAATAAAAGTCCTAACTTGAAACATTTGCAATCTTTTATTCTCTTTGCAATCATACGCCACGTACAGTTTTGTCAATCATACACCTTGTTTCGAAACGATCTTGCTTGATTTGTTAACTTTAGTTGATAGCCATCTTCCACACATTTCGTATATAAAGCTATCTTCAAGTCTTCCTTTGTATCAAAACAATCATCTTTCTTGATACGAATAACTTTGTGTAACAATCAACTGCTTTCTTTATCAACTCTTCTTCCGGTATCTGAAGTAATTCTGGCATATTCCAGTTATACGCCCGTGGCATTTTCTTTCTTCGGGGACTTTTTCTTCTTCTTTTTCTTCTTCAGGATATATGAATTACAGAATGGATGTTCAACATGTTCATTCACAGTCGTAACTTCCTCCTCATTATCATCAACAATACATTCTTCGGCATCGGCTTTTCATCATCAAAATTCGGGTATTGACCAATATCAATATCATTACACGCATGGTCTGTTTTTCTTCTGAAACATCATCAAAATCCGTGTATTGACCAATATCAAAGTTCGGATATTGACCAAGACAAATTTCGAATACTGACTAGTACTCACAATTTTTTCTGTTGGCTCATCATCGTCTAACTGGTCAATACGAAAACCGGAATTTGGTGCTGAAAGTTGATTGGGATTTGGATTAGAGAAAGGTTGTGGGTTTTGAGAAAAACTTAGTTGATTACTACCCGCTACTGACCCAACAATACTACTTCTAGGTTCAACAACATACAATGTAACATCATCTTGTGAAACACTAATGTAAGCAATGAATCGTTCAACATCTTCATTGTCGGTTAACAAATAAACTTTACCATTTCTCTGATAAGATAGCCTAAATCCACTTAGGGGCTCTAAATTCAATTTATTTGAAACACGTAGCATTAGAGTTTCATAAGTTAACTTTTGTAAAGACAATTTTAGTTGAAGATTCATGGGTAAAGGCATATATTGTAAAACACCATGAACATTATCCCATGACCCTCCAAAACACCAATCTATCCAAACATGATCAACATTAGATGATTTCATGGTTGTAAATTAATTTACTAAACAGACGAGCTGCGAAACTAAAACCTGTTGCCGGATTGGGAAGGATGTCGTTGGATATAGGAACGGATGTCGCCGGAGAGAGTGATAGATGGAGATGGAATGAGTTGCGATTTAGGGATTTAGTTTATGATTTCAGTGTTATATACCCAAAATTTCAGTGTTGTGATTTACAGATTCTCGTTGCGATTTACGGATTATCGTTGCGATTTACAGATTCTCGTTGCGATTTACGGATTATCGTTGCGATTTACAGATTCTCGTTGCGATTTACGGATTATCGTTGCGATTTACGGATACGCGTTGCGATTTATGTGTTCGCGTTGCGATTTTAATATTCGCGTTGCGATTTTGGAAAATCGCAATGCGAATTTGTACTATCGCATTGCGATTTTCAAGAATCGCGTTGCGATTTTGGAAACTGATTTGCGATTCTGGGGATCGCGTTGCGATTTTTATTTCGCGTTGCGATTTTGTTGGTCATTTTGGCAAATCCAAAAAAAGTTGGTTAAAATCGTATATTATAACTTTTTTTTGGTCACTGAGGCGATTTTCTCTTTCCTTTTTAGTTCCACTGTTGGATTAAGTATTACGTTATGATTGGGAGCTAAATACTCTTTTTATATGCTGGTTCACTTTAATTCTATTGATCATAGCACCATTTTGTTGTATGAGTTTTTTTTTTTTTTTAAGTTGGTGTATGAGAGAGTGATCGTTTGGAGTTAAGGATTTAAATAGCGGTCGATTATTGGAATAGTGATTGTTATATAACGATAAAGATAGCGTTTGAAATTGTTATTTTACAACCGCGATACTTGCAATAGTGGCAATACTATCTGTTATTATGCAATCTCGATAAATACAACGCAATTACAATCATAAATTAAATCCCTAGTTGTGGCAATGGCATAGCAATAGGCTAGTGTTCTGTAGTATATAGTATTTATGTCGTGTTCGGTTGTTGCAATCAGGATCATTTATAGAGTGGCAAATCCAAGAAAGAAAAGAAACGACCGTACTTGGTTTTCTTTACTATGATTTTGTTTCTTAACGAATGTTCTGCAATATGTCTTACTGTTTTAGCTTTTGCTTGTCTGTTGAACTTCTACTTCTAATATGTAAAATTAAAAACGAGATAGCTTTCATGTGTATCGGAAATTAGGGGAGAACATTGCTTCCTTTAATGACTGTATGAATGGGATAATGATGGCCGTATCTGTAAATTGTTTCTCTCTTTGGAAAGGAAATGAAAATGGACTAAGACTCGATTCAGTTGAGCCGGAGTTTATGTTTGATTTAGATTCTATCTTGTTTGTAATCTTGTATAGTTGTTTTCTCACGGTAAGTTTTATTTGTTGGTCTAGCATATGGATTCTAAACCAGTTGAGGATATTAGTGAACCAGGTAAATGTTCCTAGTTCCAAATGCTATTTTGTTAAGGATTATTTAGACAAAGAATCCTGATCAACATAAATTATAGCTTGCATGGATTTTCAAAGTCCTGCCTATTCTTTGGCTGATGAAATTTGGTTGCATGCTGCATATCTGCATTATTTGTCACCTAAATTCTATGTTTTTGTGGTTCTAGATATTGTTAATGGTATAGTTTTCTTACCCCCCATCCCCAATACCATAATAGTCATTATTCTTCTCTATGTTGCTTGAACTCCTCTTTTTTCTTGAACTCTTGTGCCCAACTCTCATGGTCAATACATGGATATTAGGATGCGATCTCCAAGGTTCCTCCAAATACATGGAATAACTTGAAAAAATTGAACCATACCTCTATTGCATACATATTCATATCCAGCACTCACATCAGACTCTCGATAACATACATTCATTCGAAATATCTGCAGTTGCGTATTGCTAGGAGCATTTTAGACTGGACATGCATCATTTATCTGTGTAGGTCACTTAAACTAGCAGACTGTTGTCATTGGTATGCTATTATTAACGCAGATACAATATAACCATTATACCGATTAACGGTTAATACTTACACATTGATCTACACACCCTTGACATGTTTACAATTATGTTGCATAGCTGGAGTTCATATTTTAGCACTGGTAAAAAAAATCAACGATATTTGACATTTCCCTCCATCAGAGAGTAGTGATTAACATATTGCAACTATTCTAATAGGAAATACAGTTGTCCAAGCTATTTCATTACTTAAAAAAAAAAGGGTGCATCAATTTTCTCAATCTCATATCTGTAAGCTATTTCATTACTTATAAAAAGGGGGCATTAAGATTTTGAGTATCTCGTTCTCTTGAATAATTTCGGATTAGATTTATGTTGGTCTACTATGATCATTTCACTTGATTCCCCAGGCTCCTCGGGGTGTACATTGGTGTGCAAAAGCTTCCCCAAGAGTAAAGATTGTGACTTCTGAGATTGATATTGGTTTAAATCAAGATTTCCCCGGTATGGGTGAGTTCGGGGACCCATATTTTGGAACCGATGATGATGACCGGTCATACTTGAGTTATGAGTATGTGCCTGAGACGATGATAATTAATTTTTTTTAGATATTTTATCATGTGAGTAAAACGTCATATCCTTAAATCTAAGTTTAAATACGTCGAACATAGATATTAGATACAAATATTTAAAAAAATAAGAGTCAGAGTACCATTTACACATTGATGCCATTTATACACAGAACAACTTTGCATTTCTTTTTCATGGTATACCTTTATGCATAATAATATAGCATCCTCTCCTATATATTTTGTAGCATGATCCACAAAATTTCATTTCAATATAATGAAATTCCATTTTACGTTTTGAGGTTACCAGCAATTGAACACCGATAAATTAATCTAATAAAACGAGGCCAAGTAATTTGATTTTTATCTCTAAGTTGAAGCTAGATGCCTGAAATTTGGGAAAAAATATTTGCATTGGCCAACAGATGTTCCACGGTCAATTTAAAAGGCAACTACAGTGCAGCGATATGATATTTGTTGCTTATAATGTGAAGAGTTTGGACCAATTGTTAAGGATGTGGCTGATTGAGGATTCCCCCAACAAAACAACAGTTTCAAGGATAAGCAATTTGCGATACATTGTAAGGAGGGATAATGCATGGATTTAAGCTGCCACTTGGCCACCAATCTGATCACTCGTTACTTTATCCGACTATGATAATTTTCCAATGGTTCCTCTTTTGACACGTGTAACGCTCTTGTTGCACGTCATGGAATCTTTTATATGTAGCATATTCCTTACGATCTCATCTATATAAGAGTGGTGCTCCTTTGGATTTGCTTTTGTATTTTCCTCGTATCTTCCTCTCCACCCTTAACCATGTCGGCTTTTGTTGGCAAGTATGCAGGTAAACTCTCTCATTCCACCGTAGTATATTTATATTATTGTATATATTCATGCTGAAGATGTCACCATCACCTTTCAATGCATGGCATGCACTGTAACTACGTAGGATTACCTTTCTGCTTTGTAAAATGCATGTTCATCTGTTCATTATTGATACCAAATTTAATGCATGAATTCGTTAATCCTAGCTTGGACTAATATGCATGGATCTTCTTCTTCTTCTTCTTTTTGTCTCCAGAGGAGTTGATAAAGAACGCCAAGTACATCGCCACCCCAGGCAAGGGTATTTTGGCGGCCGACGAGAGTACCGGCACCATTGGAAAGCGTCTCTCGAGTATTAGTGTCGAGAACATCGAGTCCAACCGCCAAGCCCTGCGCGAGCTCCTTTTCACCTCTCCGAACGCCTTGTCGTACCTCTCCGGCGTCATCCTTTTCGAGGAAACGCTTTACCAAAAAACATCTGATGGGAAACCCTTCGTTGAGGTCCTTGAAGATAACAACGTCATTCCGGGTATCAAGGTAGATAAGGGCACCGTCGAGATAGCCGGCACCAATGGCGAGACCACGACTCAAGGGTTCGACTCCTTAGGCGCGCGGTGCCAGCAATACTATAAAGCTGGTGCGCGTTTCGCCAAGTGGCGCGCGGTGCTCAAGATCGGTCCCAACGAGCCTTCTGAGTTGTCGATACAACAGAACGCGCAGGGGTTGGCTCGTTACGCCATCATTTGTCAGGAAAATGGACTGGTCCCCATTGTTGAGCCTGAGGTGCTAACCGATGGCCCTCATGATATTCAGAAATGCGCCGCCGTCACTGAAACCGTGCTTGCGGCGGTTTACAAAGCGCTGAATGAGCACCATGTTTTACTTGAGGGCACCCTTTTGAAACCTAATATGGTCACTCCAGGTTCTGACAGCCCAAAGGTAAACCATATATTATCACAGACGATCAGTGATTTTCTTATATTTTCATGATGGCTGAAAAACACTTGTATTAATCTGCACAGGTTGCAGCGGAGGTGATTGCGCAATACACGGTGACCGCACTTCGCCGAACCGTCCCGCCGGCAGTGCCGGGGATCGTGTTTTTATCAGGCGGACAAAGCGAGGAAGAAGCAACGGTTAACCTGGACGCGATGAACAAACTCGACGTGTTGAAGCCATGGACGTTGTCGTTCTCGTTCGGACGAGCCCTGCAACAGAGCACGCTCAAGACATGGGCAGGGAAGAAGGAGAACGTTGCGAAAGCGCAGGAAGCATTTTTGTCAAGGTGCAAAGCGAATTCGGAGGCCACGCTCGGAAAGTACGGCGGAGGAAGTGCCGGCGGATTGGCTTCGGAGAGTTTGTATGTTAAGGGTTACAAGTATTAAATTATTTCTATGTGTTTGTTTTGTGTTGGTATGAGAATAATCCTCTAATTTATCTGTTGTGCTTATTAATTTGATTGCTGGATATTACAATGGCCTTGATGATCTGTATTTTCTGGTTTTGAGATTACACTGATCGGGGTCTAATGCAAAATCCCAATTTCTGTATGTTATATATATATAATATAATGAGAGATAGGATAGGTTATAAAATGTATAACTTTTTTAGTTCTACACATGTTTAGAACCGTTAGATGACTGAAAATAGATTTAATAAAATTAATCGTAGTAAATAAGAAGATATTCATTGGAAGAAACAAAACAAAGAGTAAATCTCAGCCATTTATTTTCACTCATCCAACGATCCTATATTTGTATAAAATTAATGAGTTTTACGTTATATGTGGATTCTAACCATATATATATATATATATATAACCAACAGTTTTAGCTATTAATTTCTTGTGATAAAAAATTATAATTAGAATTAGTTTAGTATATTATCTTTTAAAAAGTATTATAAAAAACTATTTAAAAAATAAAAAGTGTGATAACAATGTATTTTTCCAAGAGTTTGATTTTAGATTCAAGTGTTTAAGATTAATACTAAAATAATATTTGATGAAATAAATAATTATTTTAAATTACTGTAAGTTAAAAATTATACTAAAAAAATTATAACGATATGTGATGACCTCTATTATGTTTTCTAAAAAAAATATTAATACTTAGAGAATAATATTTCACCTATTTTTTATGATACGTGACAACCTTTGATTATGTTGCATAATTTTTTTACAGGAACATATTATTGGATAAGAGATTGTCATTTTATTTGGACCTATCATTTGGATTGAAGTCGGGTTGGATTAGATATTTTGTAGAGTGTGAGTAAGTTTGGTTCAGGTTTAAAGTAGAAAAACTCTGATATGACATGATAATATAATTATCTTTTATATTTTAAAAAAATTACAATAATATATATTTTATTTTATTTTTCAACTATGTCTTTATTTTATCTAATAAAAATGAATTATATATATTTAGATCAGGTCAAATGCGTTTTTAAACTAAAAAATGGGACTGAATTTTGAGTCGAATGAAAAATTTTCTAAATTTGAATTGGATCAAGTGCAGGTGGAAGATTTCAATTTTTAGATCATATTCGGTAGAACAAACCCGTTACCATCCCACGCTAGAGTAATAGAGAAAATAAAATGATAGCACATAACAATTGTATTGGGAATAAAGTGAGAATTAATGTGTAATAAGGGATAATGTTATAGTTTTAAGAGAGAAAAAGAGGCTAAAAGCCTTAGCTACTTAAACCATTACAAGAGATGATTCACAGTGCCCAGCTACTTAATTAACTACATATAACATTAAAGAAACTAATCTTGAATCGTAAAGTCGAAATGTTCATAAAACTTAATCAATTTACCCTTTGGTCTTCTTCATTTCATACGCTAAAACTAAACGAAACTGAAGCATCACATTAACAAAAAGATTGTTTGGAAACATGAATCTCGAAAAACTATAAAATGTTGGAGTTGAATGCATGCATGTTTTAATGGAAGATACTGAAAAGCCAGGCCTATAATTCTTATAAAATGCACTAAAAAAATTAGGAACACAGAATTATCGAAAATTGCATGTCAAGGAATCAACAATGGATCTGCTTAGCTTTGATTTCAATAAAGAAGAAAAACGGATAATGCATTACAACAGCAGCCATAAGATTGCTGGTTGGCGAGGGTGATTTCTCTTTCGCCGCTTGCTTAGCAAGATTTCTAGGCCCCCATGTCAACCTGTTCCCCACATCTCTCGACTCTAAAGGTTTATTCTTTATATGTTGCCAACTTCGAACTTAAAAATAATAAAATGTACTGACCGAGTTCGACTCGGTACTCGAGTCGGCTAAAGGAGAGGACTTTGGTTAAGACACATTCTTCCATTCGGATGAGAAAGAAACTGTGAAAAGAAAAGAAAAATGGGGGTTTTTTTGTGTGGAGTTTTCGATGGTATCCTACAATTATGGGAAAAGGGATAAAAATTTAACCT